GTTAAAAAACAGAAGGAAACTTATTTGTTACGTAGGCTATTCATTACAAAAAAGGATGACCATAAATGATAGCACTGAATAACATTGCAATCAAATTAAAGTTAGTGCCAACGTGATCTATTTCCAATTAGATCCAAAGCTACCATTAAATTGATTAGTCCTGGTAATGTGGAAAAGATACATAAAATTTCCGAGATTCAGATAGTTTCTCTCCAGTAAAAGAATCAGTGTTGTTTTGAACGTAGGAAAGCACTTAATTCTCTAACACTCCATGCCAAAAAATAAAAAGTATAAAACATTTCTCTCTATGGGAGTAAACACCCTTTCAAGGGCCACACAACAGGCTATTTCAGCATCTCCTTTGCTTTCCCAGCCCTTGCTGGTCAAGTAAGTGGAGCATGCTGTTTACACGGGTCTGTTCTCTCACAGAAAGGGGTGGTTTCCAGTTGATGTGTTTGATTGCTTTTCTGTATACAATTTAAACCCTGGAATTTTGTAGCTTTTAAACAGCAACCTAAAGTAGATTATGTCTTCCCCAGTAAGACTGCCAATTTCAGTCTTTTTTGAGAGGCTAGAGATAAGGGATTGGGGTGAGAACCTGGGGAAATCAGCAAAGGAATGTAAAGAGAGCCAGGACGCAGGAAGAGTGAAAAAGAGAGATCACAGGGAAGAGATGCTTGTTATGCATCAGCTGTTTCCAGAGTGGGTAAGTATGTTTTCAACTTCAAATCCGATGTTGAATCAAATACTCTTCCCAGAGCACTGTCTCCTGCTGATGATATTCTTGTTTCATGCTCCTGTTCCTGCTGAGTGAGTTTTGCATTTTTATAAGGTCTGATTATAAAATGAGTGACCTTAAATCCATTGCTGCCAAGGGATCCCTGCTAATGGGTTTAGTCTGAATTATAGTAGTAGTAAGATAAATATGTCTGCTCAACCATGTATTTATACCTTTCTCCATTTCATTTTACATCTTATTGATAAAATTGAATTAGATCGCCAAGATTCGCAGTAAATGATCTGATTAAGGATTCTTTAGTATTAAATGTTAACACGTCAGATTTCAGGAGCATACTATTTTTCTGACCAAGTAAAAATATGTTTAAAAGCATGAAGCATTTCAGAAAATGTGGGATTAGTTTTCCCTAAAGTGCTCCAGTGAAATAATTTACTACTTTTCATTGTCGATATGTCCTCTTAAATCTGCCCGTTATTTCTATGGAAGGTGTCGCACATAGAGGTGATATAGTTGCTGAGATGGTAATGGTACAACACGTAGTTCAGAGACTGAAGAAAATACTTAGTTAAAATAATAAAGGGTGCACCATGAAATAGATGGGGTTTAAGGTAGGTAATGACTACAATTTGGATAGTTTTTTGAATGGTGGCCACATATACCAAGCTCTCCCACAAATGGCTAATGGTAACATTATCCTTTTTTTCTGCTTGTTTGTCCAGTAGGATATTGTTTTCCACAGGTACTTATTTCAGTTTGAAGATGGAGAAATATCATAGTCCTTCTAGATTCCTACCAAGACAACCTTTATGAAAAATGGACAGAATAGTCTAATGCTTTCCTCTCCACATGTCTCAGCTGGTAAAATCTCATATTGCACACTGAAGACTGAATGGTCTTCCATGTGTTCTAAAATTAAAATCTTAATATGAAAAATCACTTCCTTAAAATGGATTAGTACTTCGTACACTTTCTAAGATGCAGTTTATATCCCTCATCATATTACGAGACTTTCACGGTTGGTTTCTTTCCATATTTTATTCTCGTTTCCAGTCACCTGCTACAAAGACAACTCTCTGGTCACATTCCAGAATATTTCGCAGGTTCCGATTTTTCCATGCTCTTGATCGTGGTACAACCTCTCCTTTTTAACCCTGGTGAATTCCCCTAAACAGTCCCGAAGACTTGGCTCAAGTGTCGCCTCCCATGTAAACAAAACCCTAATACTTTTACTTACTATTTCTCTTTGGTCTATCCATCGCATTGTTTTCATTTGTTTCCAGTCTGTGATTTCTTCAATACCCTGTACTACCATCTTTGTCGTATATACAAATTCCCCTTATATGTGAGTAATTACTTCTTAAATCTCTTTATGTTTCCCCTGGTGCATTTATCTGAGCTTATACCAGTACAGTATCTTTCTGACAAATAATTTTACGTGGTAGAAGAAATTTTCCAACTTTGCTGTTCTTCTTGATTTACATGGCTCTTCTTAGCTGACCCTTTCCATCTCTGTTTTAGAAACAGTGTTTCAATTTCCCTATACTACATGTTCAAATCTTCTTTAGGATTACATTGACTCTCAGATCAGTTTGAAGAAACCCGATGTCTTTGCAGTGTCGCATCTTTCAAATCATTAGTGTAGAAAATCTACCTCTTTATTGGGAATCTCCATTATTTTTCTTAATAAAGCTATCTAGTTTTACTATTAAGGCTTTGCACATTTATTTGACATATTTTATGAATTGTTTTTTTATTTCTAGCAATTTTCTTGCTTTAAAGTCTTCTTTTCCACTATGATAGCTACACCAACTTTATTCAGTGTGGGTATGGTATAACTTTTTAATCACTTACCAATGAAATTTTCAGTATTCTTATATTTAAAATCTGTTTCTTATAACCAGAACATAGTCTGATATAGTATGAAAATTTTGTCTTTCAATTGAGTACTTGATACTTAGGCTGGATTTGTATTTTTGATATGTTTACATTAAAACTACCATTTTAGTATTTTATTTCTATGATTACTTTCTGCTCCGTATAGCTTTCTTTCATTTCGTACTTTCTTTTGATTACATTGTTTTATTATTCTCTCTCTTCCTATAGTTTCTTTGTTTAGTCGTTTTTTAGGGAATACCGTGTGCTTGCTTTACTTACTGAAATGCAATATAAATTAGTACTTTTACCACTTCTCCAACATTTCAAAACTATTAGGACACTTTTACTTATGTACTTCCTTCAACAAATGTACTACATTTTTTTTTTATCATGGTAAAAAACATACAACATTAAATTTACCATTGTAATCTTTTTTAAGTGTAGAGTTCAGGAGTGTTCACATTGGTGTGCTACAGATCTCTAGAACTTTTTCATTTTGGAACACAGAAACTCAATACACAGAACACAAGAACTCCCCACCATCCTCCTCCCACACCTTGGCAACTACCTTCTACTTTCTGTTTCCATGTTTTTGACTACTTTAGATATTTCATATGGGTGGAATCATACAATATTTTTCCTTTGGTGATTGGCTTATTTCACTTTGCATAATGTCTTCGAGGTTTATGCATGTTGAGCCTGTGACAGGATTTTCTTCTTTTTCACTCTGCATAATATTCTGTTGTATGTATATACCGCATTGTGTTTATCTGCCAATAGACATTTGGGTTATTTGGGTTATTTGGAATTCTTAATTATCGTGAATGATGTTCCTATGAACATAGGTATGTAAACATCTTTGAGATCCTGCTTTGAATTCTTTTGGATATATATATATACACCCAGAAGTGGAACTGCTGAATCATAAGGTAATTCTATTTTTTTTTTTTAACTATTTTCCATAATGGCTGCACCATTTTCCATTCCCACCAAGAGTGCACAGGGTTCCAACTTCTCTGCATCCTCACACACACTTTATACTTTCTGTTCTTTTGATAATGGCCATCCTGATGGGTGTGAGGTGATATCTCATTGTGATTTTGATTTGTATTTACCTAGTGATTAGTGATGCTAAGTATTTTTTGTGTGAGCTTATTGGTTATTTGTTTATCTTTGGAAAAATGTCAACTATATTCAAGTCCTTTGTCCATTTTTTAATTGCATTATTTGTTCTTTTGCTGTTGAGTTGTAGAAGTTCCTTTTATATGCTGGTTACTAACTCCTTATCAGATATATGATTTGCAATTATTTTCTCCTACTCCATAAATTGCCTTTTCACTCTATTGATTGTTTCCTTTGATGCAGAGAAGTGCTTAAGTTTGATGTAGTCCTATTTGTCCATTGCTTTTTGCAGGGAAATATTTGCCCTGAGCTGACATCTTTTGCCAATCTTCCTTCTTTTGTTTTTCCTTCCCAGAGCCCCAGTGCATGGTTGTATATCCTAGTCATAAGTCTTTTTAGTTCTTCTATGTGAGCCACTGCCACAGCATGGCAACTGACAGATGGGTGGTGTGGTTCCATGACCAGGATGCGAACCTGGGCCTCCAAAGTGGTGAGAGTGCTGAACTTTAACCACTGTGCCATCAGGGCTGGCTCTCGTTTGTCTATTTTTGCTTTTGTTGCCTCATTCAATAAATCATTGCCAAATCTAATGTCCTTATATTTTCTTTTAGGAATTTAATAGCTTTTGGTCTTATATTGAGGTCTTTAATCTGTGTTGAGTTAATTTTCGTATATGGTGTAAGGTAAGAGTCCAACTTCATTCTTCTGCATGTGAATAAGCAGTTTCTCCAGTATTAATTGTTGAAGAGACTGTCATTCCTCCTTTTGGTAGTCTTGGCACCCTTGTTGAAAATCATTTGGCTGTCTGTGGGTTTATTTCTGGGCTCTCTCTTCTGTTCCATTGGTGTATATCTCTATCTTTATGCCAGTACTTATGCACTATTTTTGACATATATTTTTTCTATATATGCTTTATATCCATGATATGTTGCTGTTTTAATTATGTTGTGTGGGAGATTTTGTTGTTGTTTATACAACTAATTTTTGTTTCCATGTACTCACATATTTATGTTTCCTCTTGCTCTTCCTGTCTTCCTTTCACATCTAAGATTCTATCTGGTTTATCTTCCTTGTGCCTGAAAAACGTTGTTATTTCTTTTCTTTCTTTTTTTTTTTTGAGGAAGTTTAGCCCTGAGCTAACTGCTGCCAGTCCTCCTTTTTTTGCTGAGGAAGACTGGCCCTGAGCTAACATCCGTGCCCATCTTCCTCTACTTTTTTTTTTTTTTTAATTCACATAAAGTTTAATCAGTCAAGTTAATGAAAATATCAAAATTTTTGAGTTAGCGTATGGCAGCAGAAATTTAATTTTTGTTGCAAATAATACAGTATTTGGTGTTTCCATTATTGACAAGCTATGCTGCAGAAAGAGCAATTGCATTGAATCTTAATTCATCAGGGTCACGTTCCATAAACTTCTTGCAAACTTCTATGGCATCCTCTAATAAAGTTTCATCACTAGTTTCCCCGTGATTAATTGGAAATGGTTTCCGTCCATCTAATTCATAGAGATGCCCATCCACGTGAACTAACGCAATGAAATGAAGGTCTACCTTTTCATCTGGACTCGGGGCCTCAGTCTGACCTTCATGGGCACTGGTCTCGTGAGTAACTCGAATAGCGTCATAGTTCTCCAGGTATCTGGCTCGTTCTTCAGGGCTCATGGACACAGACTCCTCCAGGAATTTTTTCAAGGTTGATCCAGATTCAAAGTGCATCTTGTCTTTATTGTTGGCAATAGCATGGATCAGTCCAATTGTTCCACAGGCATTGCTGATTGTTTGCTTCATGAAATATACTGATGATGTAACATCTTGTCCCTGAGATTTTATTTTTTCCTCCTCTTCTGTTCTGAATACTTCATACTTTTCTGTAATAGGGAAGAGAAGTAACACTGCGCACACTGGCCGTGGAACCATGCTAAGGAGTTCAGGATCCATTCCATATACATCAACAAACTGCCAGTTAGGATGTAGACCTAATTGTTTGAGAAACTGGTTGGTGACCTCGGGATTGGCCTCCAACGGGAGCCAGCGCTGACCCTCCATGGCTGCTCCGCCCGGCCCCTCTCCAGCCCCATCTTCCTCTACTTTTATATGTGGGACGCCTACCACCGCATGGCGTGCCAAGCAGTGCCATGTCCACACCCGGGATCCAAACCGGTGAACCCCAGGCCGCTGAGAAGCGGAGCTTGTGAACATAACCGCTGCGCCACCAGGCTGGCCCCTGTTATTTCTTTTAACATAGATCTGTTGAAGAAAACTTTACAGTTTTATTTGTTTGAAAATGTCTTCCTTTTCTTTTTTAAGCATATTTTTTCAATAATTTGTATTCTAAATTAACAGTTGTTTTTCTTCAGTGTTCTAAAATTTTCACTAACTGATCTTTTGGCTTCCATTATTTCTGCTGAGAGAGCATATATAAGTCTCATCACTGGCCCTGTCAATACCATTTCTTTCTTCTACAACATGTGTTTTACATTTGTCCAATGTTAATAACTTTTTTTCCCCCTGTGGCTATTTGTGATATGCTGAGATGAGATTTTTTTCCAGTATTTATTTTCTTCAGATTTATATTGATTCTTGACTCTGAGGTTGAAAATGTCCAGCTACAATTTTTTTCAAATATTACTTTTTCCCCATTCTCTCCAACTTTCCTTATGGTACGATAATGAGAGAAATGTCAGACTTAATGGAAATGTCTATAATTTTGAATATAGAGGCTTCACTGTGGATACTTTTCTTCTAATCCATCTTCCAGGTCACTAATTCTCTCTTCAGTTGTGGTTAATCTCTTCCTTCCTATATCAAGTTTTTCCTCACATGCTTATCGTATTTTTCACTTCCAAAATCTCTGTGTGATTCTTCGTTGTAATTTACAGTCATTGCCAAAATATTCCCACACTGCATTCCTAGAACCTATCAATTAGAAATATAATTATCTTAAAATCCATGGCTAATAACTGTATTATCTGCTCTTCCATGTATTTTCTCTATGTTTGATTTTGCTTTTTGTTTTCAATTATATCTTATCACACAATTCTGCTATTTTTAGCAAGTACCGGTATTCAGCATGATATTATGGGGAGATAATTTAAGATTTTGAATGATGTTGTCTCCATCCAGTGATGGTTTATTTTTGTTTTAGGCAGAAAGCTGTGCTAGAGTCGGTTTCCTTTAAACCAGTAAATGATCAAATGAATTTAAGCTGATCTTCAACTCTTGCTAAGGTATATTAACTCTTGTTAATACACACAATTCATCTTGCTACTAGGCTGTTCCCCCATAAGCTCCCAACTAAAATCATTTGTACTTACTAATTCCTCCCCTTTCTGGCATCATGTAATCTTCATTTTTTTTTTTTTTTTATCTCCCCAGCCCTGTGAGACTGTTTAAATTTAATTCAACTTCTCTAAAACCAATTTTGGAATACATAGTACCATGGAGGAAGGAAAATACAACAATTTCTGAGCTTCTTACTCTTAATATACCTTCACCCCTGGATTTGAGACATACAAATTCTCCCAGCCTTGGAATCCTTCCAACGTCTTTTCAGAAAGTGCTCACATACACACACACAATTTGTTCAGGTTAGCCTATTGTCCTCAGTGAGAGGAGTTTGTGAAACAGCAAAGTCCCACATTGCCAGAAGTGAGGTTTTATTAAAAGTTCTTATTGTGGCACTCCACTGTTTTCCTATCTGCTAACTTTCATTGAAGATCAGTGTTTGTTTTTTAATTAACTTATTTTTTACTTATTTAATTGTTAGTTAATCTTCAGAGAAGACTTTTTTTAGAGAGAGAGTATCATATGTGCCCTGGTTTTAAAGCTTGAGTGTTTTTTTCCTGCCATGCTTTCCAAGACTATAATCAATCTTGACTAAGTTTTAATGTTTACTTATAGCTTATATCTAGTCCCGTTCATTGTGAATAGTTAAAATAGATAGTAGTTAAATGAAGCTTTGCCTTGCGGTGTTGCTTTCTCTCAGAAGACTTCAAAAGCACAAAACAGAGTCTTTGCTTCCTGGCCCTTTGTCTGAGATGGTGGTAGTTCTGTAATCCTTCTCAACTGAGTATAGAGAAGTCTGAGTTTCTCAGTTTTCTCAAGGGTCTAAATTTCTACTTCCCATCAAGAGCTGTAATATATTGTAGTAGAGCAGCCCTGGGAGATGTACTATGAGTTCATATAACCTGAATTTGAGATAGGCTTAATAGTTTTGGCTTTGACAGGCTGCTTCCTGATCCATGGCAGCTGTCCAGACTCCACCACCTGTGAAATTAAAACTTAACTGAGAAAACTCTTACATCAGGAGGCTAATTTGCAATTCTCTACAGTGAACTGCTATTGCTATAGTAACAAGAACAAAATTTTTAAAAAACAATCTTTTAAAAGGTTAATTATGACACTAAGATGCAATATCTTGGGAGGAGGAGCTATTACCTATGTAAACTTTTTTTCTCTTTGAATGTCAAGTTAAGTATCTTTTGTTTTCTGGATATTTTTAACTTTTCAATCTTATCACTTCTACATATCAGGCAGTTCTGAATAGATACTCTCTCCCTTATTGCACATTTTCAGTATTTGAAACTTCTGAATTTTTCTTTCAATTCATCTTTATTTCCTAGTAATCCTTTTCTGAATTGAGTATGTGCTTGCTCTCAACACAAGTGTGATGGAACCTAACGTTTCCTCTGAACAGACTCCAGACTAAAAAAAAACGCCATCTAAGCAATACTTATGGGTATGCAATGCCACTCTACTTCTTTATCTCTGCATTGTTCAACCGCAGTAAGATCTCAAGTTTTGCTTAGCTCTGAGGGGCTAGTACTGGTGCTTTGCATGTTTCTTTTTGAAGGACCCATGAAAAGTTATATATTCTCTCTCCAGTGCACATCCAAATAACCTCATCTTCTCTTAGTTTTTTAAATACTGCAAACACGTTACGTATCTCTCTCTGCCACCACCTTTCCTGCTCCATGTGGGAATAGTTCTTTCATCTGAATTAATATGCTAGTCACTCAGCCCTAGATGAGAAACATGATCAAGTGGAAGGATCTCTGGAAGAGAAAATTCAATACTCTTCACTACTTCAAAATCTACACGTTACTGCCCTGTCTCGTTTAAGGTGAGCTCGATCTCATTCCAAAAATGCTCCCTTATCCCCACTAAAACCAGCTCTTCCTTGCTTCACTATGCCTAATGGCCTGTAAATACAGTTGTGAATTGCAGTCTTGACTGAGACCTAATTGACTAAGACCATGACTGCTAAAATTAAAAAACATTCCTTCCAGATGGAATATCCTCTAAGTATATGCCAGATTTGCTTGTGGATTGAGGATATTACCACGAGAGAAACTTGCACAATGTGTTTGAACTGACCTCTCTCCACATGGGGACTGACATTGAGAACTGTAGTTATACTTCTGTCTGTATTGCCCTGTGTGAACTTGCCTCACTCACGTGAGCACCTGGTAAAAATACTTCCTTTTCTGCAAAATGCAACAAAACGCTAGGTGTATAACTGATGTAAACAAATTTAAATCAAGATTCTGAATTCTTGAATTAAATGTTGATAAGCAGCTATCCACATAACACCAAGGAAAGTGGAGACAAGTGGATAATGATGTCCGATTTAAAATAATATAAACACAATTTAAATATAAATAATATAAAGACCATTTAAAATGATATATAGCTCAAAATTTACAACTCAATATATTTAGAGTTCCCAAAATTTAGAACTTAGATAACTCAAATTTTAGAAATAAGGAACTATTAACTATTATTATTTAGTCCTTTACCTTAAACGTATGATATTAATTACATACTCTGAAAATAATACCTAAATTTTCTGTATTTATTTTTAATTTCCCTATTTTTCCTTCGCTGGAAGGTATGTTACACTTATGCAGAAAGATATAAATCTATGTGGAAGTAAATGAACAGTCATTTAAAAAAGATATTCACTAAGGCTGACATGGCATTTAGGATGTTTACCACCTTTCCTGAGTTCTTGTTCTCTTTTTAGACCACATAGATTCTAGATAGGCAAATTAAAGTGCTGGAAAGCTAGATAATAAACTAGTAATTTATCCTTGGTAATCAGCTGCATGCACTCGCTGACTTCACTTGACTATAGACTTGCTGGTACACGTTGTACCTTATTACTTGCATGTACAGGTTGAAAAATTGCTTAGCAGAAATGGGCTTTCACTTGCTGTGAATGTCGGTTTAATTTACATTATAAGGCACAGCCTGTTTGGTGGAAGGTGCGTCATTTAATTTTCCTGTAAAGAGTAACTTGTGAAACCTTGAGTTTACGGGCACCATATATGTAAATTATTTGCGTGACATATGGACTGCATCTTGGATAGTCGCCCATCTGGCTGCCCTGAACCCAGTACTGCCACCCTAACACTACCTTCCCTGCTGGTCTTCAGGCAAGACCGCTCAATCTCAGCAGCTCAACAATTCTACAAATCCATATTTGATTTCCTGCCTCATGAGCCCAGCTGGTTGTTAGAAGTTGAAATAAATCATTTTGCCTAAATTAACAGCAGTTCTGACAATCTGTTTTATGATATTTACCCTTGAATCCCACTATACCTTATAAATTAGATAAGGTTGATTTACTCCAGGGGGAGAGAGAGAAGGAAGTGGAAGGAGATCACTCTCTCCAAGTAAAAGCATTTCCAATCAAAGCCCAAAGGTGATGCTATTGGCCACACTTTGCATAATGCTTGTTTTACCTAGTTATTTATTTCAGAATTTCTGATATTTTGTATGTATCATTACATGAATCGAAGAAAAAAACTATATCTCTTGGTGGAGATCCTTGTGTGAGAAAGGAGATAAATTGAAGGAGGGACTCTTAAAAAGGAGCCAGGAGTTAATGGTTTTGAAAATTCCAACCTCTGCAGAGAGTGAATGATGCTAAAATTAGTGAATAGTTTTAGAGCAAAGATCAAATCCAGAATGCTACCAGGAGAATGTGGCCTAAAAGGAAACTGCGTGTACTATAAAATCTTTTTCTAATCCGTCAGAATGATCCAAGGTGTTGTCTCAGTGTAG